GTAGTGCATAGAAAGAGGAAGGTGAGTGGTGCGGCCAGGGTTTGTGAGTGAAAGAGATAGAGCAGAGAGATTGAAAGGGTGAATTGAACCCTAGTAGATTGGAATTGTTTGTGATGAAGACGAAGGCAAATGGGCGCTTTATCTAGGATATGTGAATATAGAACGCGACGATATGGGAGAAATGTCGAGAAACGGGAAGGAATTCGTCAAAATAATAGACGATAGATGTGAAAGCTTACCATTATAAGCACCAAAATTTTCAAACTACTTAATATTTCTATATATATTGCAAGTAGAACCATCTCAAGAACCACCTGTAGTTGGTCTTCGTGATGGCAATTACGGATTTTTAGAAAAAGAGAGATACCGATAATGGAAAGGGTAAACTGTGATGGTGCTCTGGTGGGGGTTACTAATGGAGGTGAAATAAGACAATCCAGTATGCTTGATCAAATCCCCCCTCTATCCCCACCAATATGAACCAGAAGTCGCCGATAAAGGAGATAGTTTATAGGGATCCAACGTTGGGGAAGAGAAGGTGACGATAGTGATTTTGAGAAGAGAAACAGAAGGAGAGAGATCGAGAGAGAACCATTGGCAGCAATTATTCTCAATTTGTTAGAATTGTTATTGGTGGTGGCAACATTTGTTTCTTATAAACAAAAGAGAAACAATAGTAAAAGGACTCAAATCCCCTATTTCAAGGAACAGATTAGGTTCATTTTGACCGATTCAGTTTTATTCACATCACTTAGGTGGAGATTTTTAAGGGATAAGAGTGAGACCATGTATTCAACGGTTGAGTAAATAAGATTCAATGCATAAATTCATTGTACAGCTCGCATTTGATCTAGTACCTCTTAAAATTCAGCATTTAAGGCTAAATGTTTATATATATATTGTGACATCCCCTAATTTCTCAGCCAGAAAAGACCGATTTAATTTATGCTTTTTAAAATAAAATCAGAGAAAACCTTTTAAAAGATGTTGCGGAATTGGTCCCCAAAACAAAACATGATAAAAGTTTATCAAAACCTTTCTTTAAGAAATGTATAATTTCCTTTTATATCAAAACCTCGGGATGTCATGTTCCGATACAGATCAAAAGCATAAACAAGACATTATAAGCCTTACAACAGTTATTTACAACTACTGGCCTATAATCCAAAAATCTCTCATCATCCACCGACTATGCTCGGGGTCCACTACTTGTAATAATAAAAAACTGAGTAGGTCAGGCTTGGGAGCCTGGTGAGCATATAGGGTTTTCAAACCACAATAATAATAACTTATTAAGTTCCCCAATCAACAATAACCCTGATTACCCATTCCCGTTATCCTCACTTTACGTCCTTGAACACCTATCACAAGGGACCTAGCCTAAGGAATATCATCGGGATGGACACTACTGCTAAGGGGACTCCTCAGCCATACATGTCCTAAAGGCAACCATGAGGGGGATGGATTACGCCAATGAACACTTAGTTCACCAACACCTACAAGTTGCGAACCTGCTAGTGTTCCACTGGACTGTCTAGAAAGGTCTGTGGTCGTCATCTATACTCCGCTAGACGACTATAACAATAACAACAATATTCAGAAATGGGAATTATGTCGGGCATATCTCCCATGAACTTTCTCAAATAACACACATGAAAGGTGTTATGAATACCCTGCAGTTCTTCCGGTAGTTCTATCTGTTGGATTAATGTCTAAGTCCATAACTATATTTGGTATGTACTTGACCCGACCCGGCATGGT